CAAGGTGCCTGGACCCTAGGATTCTACTTTCTTCAGAGCCTCCCAGACTTCTGGGGAACAGTAGGGTTTAGGGGTTAGGGTTTAGGGTTTAGGGTTTGGGGTGTTCCCTAAACCCTCAACCCCGACAATTTGGGCAAAAAGGGCTCGAAGGGTCTTAGGTGTCTAGGAGCGCCCCAAATGTGCCCAGCGGCGCTGCCAATCTCCCAGAGGGGGCTTCCAGCCTTCAGAGCCTGGCCAAGCTAGGCTGATGGCGCGTGGGGCGCCGATTTGGGGCTAAAGCAGTTTAGGGTTTAGGGTTTAGACACAGTGAATGGACACATAGCCAGCCCTGGCCCAACCCCGCGAACCCTAAACCCGAAACCGAGGATCCGGGACGGACGTAATTTGGGGCTTAGGGCTTAGGCGTTTAGGACCTTTTCAACAATCCCCAAAACGATCTATGAACAGGGTTCGAAAACTTAGCAATAATTTGTGAACTTTTCAAATGGGTGCATTTAGTTATGTATTTTCATGTTATGTATATTTACATATATATATATATGTATATATATATATATTTTTTTTTTGGGGGGGGGGGGTAGGGATTAGGGTTTAGGAAAACTTAGGGCTTGGGGTTTAGGGCTCAGAGAATTCGAGCGCAACTTGCTTGCAAACTTTGCAGGCCTCAGACAGCTCGGCCAGGAGCCGCGTGACCTTGTAAAGAAATGAGAGAGGTCAAAATAAGGCTGTATAGGGGTTGTAGGGTTATGGGGGGGCTATAGGCTTGTAGGGTTATAGGTTTATAGGGTCATATTCACAAAGGGTTATAGGTTTATAGGGTAATGGCGCTATAAGGGTTTTCAGGGTTATACAGGGCTATAGGCGCAAGTTGTTCTTTTTTTTGAGGGGGGCTTTGGGGGGGGGGGGGGCTTTGGGGCCTTTGTTCTGGTTCTAGGGTTTTTGGGGGTTTCGGGTTTGGGATTTTGGGCCAAGAACGCGAACCTGGCGGGTCAAAGGTATCGCAGTGGCTGCGAAATGGCAGAGGCTTTCCCTCCTTTTCCTCAGAGAGCTACGGAGAGAGGACCCACCCTGGCTTCCGAGGGCCAAACACGGAGCTGGAAGTCCTCACGAGCGGCTCTGGGATGGTTTGGAACCCGACCACTTTGCACCGCACCTTAGAAACATAATGAAACAATCATGTTGAACACTTCCCCTGGTTTCTTTTTTCAATCTCGCGGAAAATATTCAAGGACGCTATAGTAGTCTTTGAATGAAGGTTCATGGGTAGTTGCGACTGGGCTCAAACGTAGGGTAGGTTCAGTTCTGCCTCAGGGGCCCTGCTTACAATCCTCATTTTAACTCCCACACACCACGCCAATTCATCACTACAGGAAGTTTGCAATCCTAACCCCTACACCCTAAACCCTAAACCCTACACCCTAAACACTAAACCCTGGAGCAGCTGATGTCCTCGGGCTTGGCCGTGTCTGCTGGCGGTAGTAGTTGTGACCTGTAGCTCACATGGCTGCAAGGGCCTACTTGGAGGATCATGGGACCTAGTCAGTAGGGTTAGAAGCACCGTGATGGGGGGGTTCATAAGTATTTTGTAACTCTAGTTAGTTGCCCTAATGAAAACCCTACTAAAACTAAGTCCCCCGATCCTTTTAGTAGGGCTCTCAGGGCTCTTCGGGGGGTTCTGAAAGGTTTCTCACAGATTTCTAAGGGCTTCTAAGGGGCCAGCCGGAGGGTGCCCTCCTGGGAGCCTATAGGCGCTTATTGAGGACCTCAGTGTTAGTCACACGCGCATGAAGGTTAACGGGTAGGAGTACTATGCTGCTTGCATACGTCATTCCAGAATCCGCCAAGGTAAGGAGATTTCAGAGCTCTCAGTGGATTTGCAGCAGCAAATGCACATGCCGAGCACCACAGCGAAGTTCCGCGACACAACTCGATGGCCGCAGCTTTCAAGCATGCAAAATGAAGGAGCACGTTAGGCAGAGCTGCAAGGGATGACACTAGCTGTCACTAGCTCCAGCACAGGTCGAACACCCAGCATAACAAACACCGCACCCACACACACCTCTTAACGCTGAACGTTCAGGGTTTAGGATTTAAGTTTCGACGGTTTAGCCTCAAACTAATCCCCAATCCCAGGGTGCGCAGTAAAACAAAGTGTTGCTCCATCATCGAGCGCTGCACGGGCTCGATTGGAGGAAGAAGTTCCCAGACCTGCGCACCTTGAAAGAATCGCAGCTTCAGACAGGGTAGTTCGGGCTTAGGGTACTTAAGAGTTGAGGGAAGGGTTGCTAGGGCGTTTTGGGTTCAGAGTATAAGGTAACTAGGGGACTGGGGCCGTAGGGTCCGTCAAACAGAGTGGAGAGTTTTTGGGTCTCTTGTTGATGAGCCGTCCCTTAGCATTCAGACGTCTGCGGTCTGTGGCTGCACGGACTTGAACTTGAAACCCGGCAGACAGCCCGAGCCCTGCCCCAAAACAAACCCAAACCCCCAAAACCCCAAAACCCCAAAGCCCCCAAACCCCTGACCCTAAACCCCTAAACCCCAAACCCCAAACCCTAAAACCCCAAAACCCCAAAACCCCAAAACCCCTAAACCCCAACCTCCCAACTTCAGCAACTTCAGGCCATTTCATGCTTTGCCATTCCCGGGGCCGCGTGCCATGAGCAGCGGGAAGAGGCCATGGGCCCTGGCAAACGTGCTAGGGTTTAGGGTTTAGGGTTTAGGGTTTAGGGTTTAGGGTTTAGGGTTTAGGGTTTAGGGTTTAGGGTTTAGGGTTTAGGGTTTAGGGTTCAGGGTTCAGGGTTTGATGATTAGGGTTTGGGGTTGACTTCGTCATGAGCAGCTGCAGAAGGCTTTCTTGGAGGCTCAGTGCGCAGCTAGTACTTTACTCCCCTTAGAACCTTAACAAACAATAGCATTTTCAGTATTCCCTTGGTTTGAATACCAGAGAAAATACAAAATATTTCCTAAGGGGCTGTAGATTAGTAGGGTTCTAAGTATGGCAACTCTGCCTCGAGCTACCCATGAGCCTGCTAAGGAGCTTCGGCCCTCCTTTTGTATGTCTTTAGAACTTAGTTCAGGGGAGGGTGTCGAGTACGTTGCTAAACCCTAAACCCTAAACCCTAAACCCTAAACCCTATAAACCCTATCCTATAAACCCTATAAACCCTATAAACCCTATAAACCCTATAAACCCTATAAACCCTAAACCCTAAACCCTAAACCTGCGCATACGTTCGTCCACCATGATTCTACAGCACTAAAATCCCGAGCTCAAGAGATCCTGCAAACCTGGAAGCCGGGAGTTCGGTCCTCTCCAAACAATCGATTACGTGGGTGTCAGGTCTTAGCGGCTTCTTGGGCCTTTGCGGGTGTTAGGGGGGTTTGGAGTGTCTATAGAGCGGGTCTTACAGGGGCTCACAAGGCTGTATGGAGTTTAGGTTTAGGCCTTTTTTTGGTAGTGCTTTTTGCCTTGTGAGCTACAGGGCTTATGGGACAGGGCCTGAACCCTGAACCCTGAACCCTAAACCCTGAACTCTAAACCCTAAACCCTAAACCCTAAACGCTAAACCCGGGGATGTGTGGCTTCAGGATCCCTGCGGCGGCTCACGGGAAGAACTCGCGCAGGTGCGGCGTGGCTTGCACAGCACCGTGCAGCTCCCCGATGCTGTAGGGCGTTGCCTCTTTTCAGAGGGTTTAGGGTTTAGGGTTTAGGGTTTAGGGTTTAGGGTTTAGGGTTTAGGGTTGGCTCTCTTTGTTTAGGGCGTCGCTTTATTTAAGGTTTTAGGGGGTGCTTTTTTTTTGGGGGGGGGGGGGAGGGCTTTTCGAGATGTTTAGGAGGGTTTACAGCTTAGGGTTGGATCCCTGTATATGGCAGTCAGCTCCTATCTATCTATCTATCTATCTATATAGATATTTATTTATTTATTGTGTACCCCTGTTAGTATTATCACGATAAAAAACCCGAATATACCCTTGCAGACCCCTAGGGCTGAGGGAAGTTCCAGCGCAGGAGGTGGGAGTGCCCGGTCCGCGAGTCTACAGTTGCATTGCCACCTCGGGGCAACTGGAGCCTGCGTTTCCTTTAGTTACCTGTAGCTTCGTACGGGAATACTGCAGGGTTTAGGGCCAAAGGGTTGAGGGTACTTGCTTTCTTCTTGTCGGACAAGAATGGGACCCCAAACCCCTCTGAACCCTCCCAAAACCCTAAACCCGAAACCCTCTGAACCCTCCCAAGACCCCGAAACCCGAAACCCTCTGATCCCTCCCATAACCCTAAACCCTAAACCCTACTTCAGAAGATCTCAGCCGAGGCATCGCCTGAGACGGTAGGAAGCTCTGCAGCCAGGCAGAGAATCCTGGCAGGGGGGTTTAGGGTTTGGGGTTTAGGGTTCAGGGGTTGGAGGGGTTTCGTGGTTGAGGGTCTAGGGGTTCAGGGTTTTCGGTTTTTTTTGGGAAAACGCTTGTCAGCACGATAGACAAGAGAAAAGCTCACTCCCAAAGGCGGAGTTTCCGGAAGATTAAAACCACGACTTCTACACCACCTTCTTGTGAAAAGGGCTACAGATTCGGGGCCAGCATGGTGCAACCCATGCCATCCTCTGATTCGGTCAGCATTAAGGGGTAGCCTAAACCCTAAACCCTTCACCCCCAAACCCTAAACCCCTAAACCCTAAACCCTAAACCCTAAACCCTAAACCCTAAACCCTAAAGGGTAGCTTGTCGGCACGCCATATGCTCCCTTGAGAGAAGGCCCGAAGAAGTGAAGTCGGCCCCTTGAAACCGTCCGAGCCGTATTCCTACATGTAACCCTCCCAACCCCCAACCCCCCCACCCCAAAAAAAAAAAACCAAAAAGTATAATAAAAATAATAATAGTAATAATAATAGTAATAATAATAATAGTAATAATAATAATAAAGGTGAAACATGCAGTCTCTACGGGCCTATCGGCACCATGAACCCCAAGCCCTCTCAGCCCTTAGGATGGCCTTCCTCGCGCTCCTGGATCGTGGAGGACAGGTCCTGCTGAGGATTTTAGGAGGCTTTGGGGGGTTTAGGGTTTAGGGTTTAGGGTTTAGGGGGGATGTTTTTGAGGGGGTTTAAAGGTTTAGGGCAAAAGCCCTTCAGCAGTTGGGCCTCCGAAAGCTAGAGTTCAGGGTTGAGAGCTCAGAGACATTTTGGGGGTCCCCATAGTTCTACTGGATTGAAGGGTATGTAGGGGGGTCAGATGTTTGGAGCTCCTTAGTAAGCACGTGCTGGCGGTTCCAGCTCCAAGTCGCTTTGATAGAGGGCTGCATGGCGTTCATCCAGGGGCCTATTCAATACTGGGCATGTTGGGCAGTTTGTATTGCCATGATATGGGGAGAGTACTGGCAATTACTTGGGCTCTTGTACCATATGACATGTGCAGTACTGGCCATCCCAGCGAACTGTCAGAAGATCCGCTACTTGTTGGGAAGCTCTGCCAATCGACTGTCCGCAATGATGAGGACCAGGTGGTAGAAGCTGAAGTCCACTGCCAGCTGGTACAGATCCTGGCAGCGCAAAGCATGTGGGCAGTTTTTCTGAATAAGGATCCCTTTTGAAATCCTTATTAAATACGGCACCCACATGAAAAACAAACACCCTGATTCAGAGAACTTCCCATATGTTTTTGGGGTTTGGGGCTTGGGGCTTAAGGTTATGGTCACCCTTGGTGCTATGCTCGGAAGGCTCGGGAAGGATCGGCTGCTTACGTGCAGAGGGACTGATATAGGGGTCGGAATAATTACTAATAGTATCCCCTTCTGGTCCCAACACAAGTACACCACAATGATCCCCAAAAACCTATTCGAATTAGTTAGGCCCCTATATTACACAGACGAGACCGCCGTGTCTCCTGCAGCTTCCAGATGCCATCCTCGAGAGACTGCCTGCTTCAGAGTGATTCTTCAATGGGCTGCCTAGGTCCAGAAGCCAATCTAGCCAGCCTTGCGGAAAAAACCTTACTTTCTGCACGCGCGTCTCGTTTCTAATCTGGGCTTTTCGTGTGAATGAACCAGTTTATACTTGGTCCTTTCTGCGCTGCATCAGGCATATGCAGAGCCTTGCTAAACGTGTCCAGCACCCTCTCCAGCTGGCATGCCGATCATATCGCCTGTCGCAATAAAACTCCCGCGGACCTCTTCTGCCGCGCGCTGGCCCGCCATCGCTCTGACACCCGCCTGTTTGCAATGTCACTGTGACACGAAAGACACATCAGCTGCGCAGCAGAACGAGGTGCTAATATGCGTGTGCACATGTGCATATGACACATGGGCCTCATGCCCCCTTCCAGTGCAACCAACTTAAGCCCCTCGAGAGCAAAGCCCCCAGACCTAAACCCCCCCCTAAAAGCCTCATAACAACCCAAAACCCAAAATCCCTTAAACACCCCAAGCCCGATAAACAAGCCCAAAGCTGCGAAGCTCTGAAATTAGGGTTTAGGGTTTAGGGTTTAGGGAATCTCTTCAAGGCCCCGGCTTGTCGAGGATCAGGAGGTCCATCTCCCGCTGCAGGGGCAGCCTCGACATGTTCCGAGAATTTCCACCAGGCTTTGGGGATTTGTTCAGGGTCTAGGGTGTAGGGTAGTGGTGTGGGGGGTTGTAGAGGCTTAGAGGTGAAGGTTCGAGGCCTGGGGATTTTTGCAGGGTTTAGGGTGTGGGGTAGGTTTTTCTTGTTGGGGAGGGGGGAGGGGGGTGTGTTGTATGTAGAGGTGAAGTTTCGAGGGCTTGGGGCTATCGGATGTTCAGGGTTTGAGAAGTTGCTGCCCTGCGGGCTTGGGGGAAGGTTTCTGGTATGCAAGCCAGCAGGCATGTTCAAACATCCTTTGATTTGAATTTCCCTGAAACCCTCACGCCCCAAACTCAAGACCGTCAACTGCAAATAAACCGAACATTCCTGACGCCGATCTAAGTCAACGCCTAGGTCTTCCAGCATCAAACCACATAGCCCCAATCGCAGTCACGACTAACGGCCGAAATACTTCTCCATTTCTTGGGATTGGCTTAGTTTCTGGGGGGGAAGGACATATGGGTGGTCGTCAAAATTATGATCCCTTTTGGGGTACCCTAAACATTATGCGCCGTATTTTAATAGGGATCCGAAAAGGGACCATAATTTCAACAACCACCCATATGACCTACGCAATCACGAACTAGGAAGCTTCTCTCCGAGGCCGCTGCTGCACACGGGCGGCTGTGTCCAGTCGCGCCTGGAGCCGTGATGCCCAGACGTCGCCCACAGCAAAGGTGACTGTAAAGACTGGCTGGTTCTTGGTAGGGACTGAGGGAATGAGGTACCCTATATAGTCCCTTAACGGGTATAAGGCCCTAATTCCCTCATTCCCAACGAAGAACCAGGCATGAAGAGGTGACTCTGTGGCAACGCGGCAACGCTCTGAGGTTCCGACCACCGACTGGTCCAAGAGTTCCTGGCATGCGGCTGGCTCAAGCTTTGGGATTTCGGGTTTGGGGGGTTTTAGGGTTTAGGGGCTAAGGGGTTTAGGGGTTTAGGGTTCAGGGGTTTTTGGGTTTAGGGGTTTAGGGGTTTAGGGGTTTAGGGGTTCCCACTATAGGGTGTATTGTGTCTTGGGTTTCGGGGAAGTCTTCGGCGGAAGCCAAGCATCAGGCAGCAAAGGTTGCAGTCACAGCCTCCGTACATATCAGGAGCCCCTCCAACAAGCCCAATAGAATAAGAAACCCTTCAAAGCCCCATAGAAGCCCCTTCGAAAAACCCTGATCTAACGCTCCAAAATAAGAAACCCTTCAAAACCCCATAGAAGGCCCCTTCGAAAAAACCCTGATCTAACGCGATGAGCAACAAGCCCTTTTGGAGGGCGAGCCTTGCTCCCTGGCAGACCGCGCTGCGCCGCCTCTCGCCAAGTCTTTGCTAGAAATAGTCCGGGCTTGCAGTGCCTTTAGGGTTGTTCTAGGGCTTACAGGGCTTCTAGGCTTTGCAGGGTTTTATGGGGCTTATATGCTCTGAAGTGTTTATAGGGTTTGCCCCCACAACGACCCTGCTAAAGAGCAAAGCAAGGCATTCGCAGCAAGGCAGGCCCGTTTTTCGGTGAGCGGCGGCGCTAGCTCGCTTCAGTCTGCACTTGCTTGGCCCAGTCGCCGAGTTGCGCAGCGTCGACAACGGCCTGAAATTCTGAGCAGGGGCCGTTGTCATGCCTTATAGCTGGGACCCTACTTACCTACAGATTCGTAGTAAGTATACCCCTATTGAGTAGGTATAACCCTTACAACAGTAAGCAAATAGGCTCCCAGGTTAGGCTGGAGCCTAAAGCTAATCTCCTGGAAACCTTGTTTGGCCTTCTCCGTGCAAGTCCAGCCCTGAAGGTTCACATAGGCTTAATACTCAGAATAGGTTTTTTTTTTGGGGGGGGTTTATTATAGTACAATTACCAAAATGGGCCATAAGGGAATACTATTCGCAATCATTCCGTGAAGCCTCGAAGCCTTCAAGCCTTACTTGGAGGTTCATGGGTAGCTTATAAGTAAGGTTCTAAGTACCCTAAATGGGCTGTAAGTATGGATACCATAACCCTGCTTAATAACTACCCATGAACCTCCAAGTACGTGGACTCAGGTATCTCTCCACTTCACTCAACAGCATGCCCTCAAAACCCTAAGCCCCCTTGTAGCAAGGATTCTGTTTTTCGCCAGGCTACACCGCCGCAGATCTCCACCACGACCTTCTGCAGGCCTCTTCAGGGGCTGCGCAGGGGTGGCTGAAGTGGGGGGCTGCGCAGGCGTTTAGGGAAAGTTTAGGGCGCTTCGGGCGCTCTAAGGCCCAAGGTAGCGACGTTGTGCACTCAAGACTCAGAATCTGCGGGTCGCGAGCGTCTCGATTCCCTTGTGACTTTCGAGCTGCGCAATGGGAGGGTGGGAGGGCGCAATGGGCCCCGTAATGAGTTGACTGCGAACTCGAAAACCCCTCGACCTTCCTACTTCTGAAGGTAAATATATATATATATACATACATAATATATATATATACATAAAATATATATGTATATATATATATAAAAGGGTTAAATATAGGGGAATAAGATTAAGGGTCCCTTCTAGGATCCCTCCTTAGTCTGCTGTGCCTTTCAGGGACTCGCACCTCTCGGTGACCGCCGCAAGCGCCTGGGGCAAGGCATGGTGCTGTGTTGGGGGCTCCTTGGGTTTAGGGTTTAGGGTTTAGGGTTTAGGGTTTAGGGTTTAGGGTTTAGGGTTTAGGGTTTAGGGTTTAGGGTTTAGGGTTTAGGGTTTAGGGTTTAGGGTTTAGGGTGCGAGTGACAGTCGTTAATAGGGATTATCGTGCCCCCCTAATTCGAATCCCGATTAAGGACTGCTTGCATAAGGGGGGAGCGTCCCAACAAAAACAGTTCTCACCACTTCGTAGGCCCCTCACGGCCCCGCATGCAGGCTCCACGACGAGGCGATGCTCATCGGCCAGCCTTGCAGCAGGAAGCCTAGACCCTCTACACCCCTAGAGGGTTCAGGGTTTAGGGTTTAGGGTTTAGGATTTAGGGTTTAGGGGTAAAGGGTTAAGGGTTTAGAGTCTTAGAGGCTTCTTGGCGGGATACTGCCAGGTGCAGGTTGGACTCCAGGTTCCTTGATCTGCGCAAAATAAGGACCCCACGAGCGCAGGCCAAAGCCTATAGGGCATAGCGGTTTAGGGTTTAGGGTTTAGGGTTTAGGGTTTAGGGTTTAGGGTTGGTTTAGGGTGAAGGGCCTTGTTTGCAAGACGCGATGCGGACTTCTCAAGGTTGAAACCCCCCAAAAAAACATGAAGCTACCCCAGAAGTTTTGTCTGGGTTGACGCAGGGCTTGAATACTGTGCTTCTCGGCAGAGGGCCCCTGCGCCAGGCATGCTAGCTAGGCTTCGAGCTACACAAAAACCTTGTGTGTTCGAATGTCTTACCTGGAGGACAGCGACTGTAGAATCAACCTGCCAGTCTGCAGGGCTCAAAGAGCTTTCAGTCTGGGGCTTCTGAGCCCACCCTAAACCCTAAACCCTAAACCCCTAAACCCCTAAACCCCTAAACCCTAAACCCTAAACCCCTAAACCCTCTAAGGCCCTAAGCCGTTTTCAACCCTCTCAAGACCGAAGCTTCCCCCCGGCCTCACGCAGGCTGCCAGGGCCTAGCGTGGCAGGGACCCCCAAAGAAGGGTGACTTAAAGCTCCTCTTTGCTTTAGAACCCCCCCCAAAATATTCTTCCTCATAAGGGTAATAAAGGGACTACTATTTTCTTTATTTTAATTTTTTTCGGGGTTCTTAAGCAAACAGTAGAAAGTCTCTTCTCAGGGTTCACAAGCAGGGGATTAAGCCTGACAGGGTTAGGTTGCCCCAGCTAACGGTGGGGTGCGCAGATGTTCATAAGCGAGGGCTTAGGATTCTGAGATCTGGTTCTGAGATTCCATGGATACAGCGGCGCATTCCAAGGAAGCTGGTTTTGTTCCCCTACCCTAAACCGTAAACCCTAAACCCTCAACCCTCAACCCTAAACCCTAAACCTTCGGCCTGGGCATCGCTGAACACTTTCGAGGCAAAGCGTGCGCGTGGAAGTTGGCGGCATCGCTCAAAGACTGCCTGCAGCTACACAGTAGGGCAGCAAACCAACCCTCAGAGGCCTAAACACCATAAACCCACCCACTTGGAAGTTCATGGGGTAGTCATAAGTCGGCGTATAATTATGGTAACACTACTTATAACCCTATTTAGGGTACTTAGAATCTTACTTATAGCTACCCAGAACCTCCAACAGTAGGCGTGCAAGAGACGATTGAAACTGGGGCTTCGGCAAGGGCATCGAGTGGAGGTTTATGTAGGAACTGTACATCTGCAGCATGTGGGGGTTTACGAGATAGGGGACCCCATGGGACCCCTAATACAGTCCCCAAATAGTAGGATTCCCTTAAAGAGCCCAATAAGGTACCCCGAATCTCGGAAACCCCCATGTATCAGCTGCCCGTTCTTGTGCTTTATGCATGTCCTTTGGGACCCCCCACCCCCCCAGCATTTTTGGGTTGGGGACAAGTCGAGCATGATGCCGAAAGCTATGGCAACCTCAGGTGAGCAGAACCGACCCTAAATCCCAAAACCACCCCCTAAAACCCCAAAACCTAATCCACAGAACCCTAAACCCTAAACCCTAAACCCTAAACCCCAAACCCTACTCAACCACCCCCTAAAGACCCCCAAAACCCCCAAACCCCTCGCACTGCAGCCCGGCGGCCTCACTCGGGCGAAGCGCACCGAGCGACTTGGCAACCCTGAGAGAAGTCTCAGGGTGGTTACAGGGTCCTACAAATTAGGGTTTAGGGTTTAGGGTTTAGGGTTTAGGGTTTGGGGGTTTGGGGGTTTGGGGTTTGGAGTTTCGGGTTTCGGGTTCAGGGCCCTGAAAAGCGGACCCCTGATATACCTTTATATACCCTACATTCCTGTGACTCCTGTATCCCGTAGATGCACCCTGGCTTTGGGACCGCAAGATCAGAAACGCAAAGGTTCGCTTGCGGTGCGGGCCGTGGAAATGTGATCTGAGATGGACTATGCCAAAAAGGAAATCTCAAGCCCTAAACCCATTCTAGGTCAATGTATACCCTCCCACCCCCCCTGCTCCAACTGATGCGAGCTCCATCTTTTTTGTCTGTGGTTGCCCTTTACGGCTTTAGTAACTCCCTAAACCCTAAACCCTAAACCCTAAACCCTAAACCCTAAACCCTAAACCCAAACCCGAAACCCTAAACCCAAAACCCGGCGAAGCGGCGAGGTGATGGCAGGCAACGTGACCAGCTCATCCTTCGCCAGGCTCCTGAGCTTATGGTTTAGGGTTTAGGGTTTGGGGTTTGGGGTTTAGGGTTTAAGGGTTGAGGGTCTAGGGTTTAGGGTGACCCAGGGCTGCGTTTGGGGCTTCAGATCTCTAGGGCCTAGGGGGTGTGTGGAGGCTTGAGGGTGTCCGAAAAAGAGGAACCCTAAACCCTAAACCCTAAACCCTAAAACCCTAAACCCTAAACCCTAAACCGCGAAAGCGGTTCCAGGCTTCAGCCGCGTGATCGGTAGCACGGGAATCTTGACAAGCAATTTAACGATGCCGCATTGCCCTGGCCTTAGAAAGTATACCCCCAACTATATGTCTACTTATAACCTATTTAGAGGACTTGGGGGACTTAGGGGCTTATCAGTGCAGTTGGATTTGGGGTTACAAGTACCCTGAACCTCCAAGTAACACTTAACCAACTTTTTTGCAGGGAGGCCAATACCCCTGAATCAAGGTCTCTTGAGAAGCAGGCTCTATACATGGTTCAAGATATGTCCCTTACTTGAAGGGTCTTGGGCTAAACCCTAAACCCTAAACGCTAAACCCTAAGCTTGGCCCTGGCGCTGGGCCAAGCAGGAGGCTCCCTGGGTCTCACAGGCCACGACGCGCGTGTCCGACCTCGTCCGCTTTGCGTGGCAGCGCTTTGTATGTGGGGGGGGGGGAGGGGGGGGAGGGGAGGTGGCGGGTACTGAGGGGAAACGGAACGAATCTGGAATCTTCAAAAGGTTTAAGGCCTAGGGCCTTTGCATTGAGTATTTTTTTGTGGGGGGAGGAGGGGAGGAGCTTTAGCTTCTGTTGTGGTAGGTACCGCACACAGAGCAACTGAGGCACATGTGACTGGGAGACTGTCAAGAAACGTAGAAGAAGTTACCATTCCTAAACCCTAAACCCTAAACCCTAACTAAACCCTAAACCCTAGACCCTAGACCCTAAACCCTAAACCCTTTCTCTGAGGCTGTGGCCATCCGGCGGCCTGCAAAGTTGCAATCCGCCGGGACAAGAGTGCCGGCAACCCTTCGCATCTTGTTAGTCACAGGCTCGAAGGACATGCTTAGACATGAGTTTTCCGTCTTCAACTTTTGGGATATACGAAAAAACAGCGACCCCCCAAAGAAAAGAGCACACCACATATTCAGTCGGAGTTTATGGTTTGGACCCCACGCAGGGAATGGCCTCCACTCCCTGCAGGATGCCCATGAGTAGGCCGCCACCACCTCAACTCACGGCTTGGGCTTTAACTTACTGTTTGTTGGTCGAGAATGAGGGAATGAGGTACCCTTTTCCCCCCCCTATATATATATATACATATACCCTTTCAGGGATTAAATAGGGTACCTCAGTCCCTACTAACCAACAGTAAGTTAAGATTCAGATTCAAGTGTGGCTTACCAGCCTGAACTTGGCACCCTAGCAAAAAGCATCACTAAGTTTAGAGTTTTAAGGGTAGAGGCAAAGACATGGCTAGTTCTCGTCGGCCCTGCCATTTGAAGCAGCAGACAGGGGCTTAGGGTTTAGGGCTTAGGGTTTAGGATCTGGTCTTTTTCCTTCCCAGCCCTTCCCCTCTGGCCCTCTGGGACTTTCTGGGGTCCTTGGAGACCACCCGGGTTTAGGGTTTAGGGTTTAGGGTGCGAGACCCTTTCACTTCGCTGGTGGCCTTCTTAAACTCTGGCACGCGCAGAGGGATTGACAAAAGTTCCGGAACCCCCTGAGAACCCTGAAGTCCAATTGTCCTGAACCCTTAACCCTTAACCCTAAACCCTAAACGCTAAACCCAAAACCCAAACCCAAGCCCCCCAAGCCCCTGATACTTCGGTCCGCGAGTTGTGCGAGCGAGCTGCAACCACCGCCCTCCACTCACAACCCCAAAACTCCCCCCCCAAAAAAAAACTAACCCCAAACCCTAATATGATGTGTTTACATCTTCGAATCTCAACAAAATATCACATTCATGTCAAATGAGATCACAGATTTGTGTGCTACATGGGTGTTTCCGAAACTAGGGGCACCTGATTGGGGTCCTTACTTTCCGGGATCTTACGATTTGCGGATCTTTTTTAGGGGAGACCCCCTGTGTAGGTAACCCTAAACCCTAAACCCTACACAATAAACCCCTGGGCACTATAATAGGGGTCCCTTATTTCCGGAAACCCCCCACCTAAAACCTAAACCTTCAACCACATTCTAACTCCCCTACTTCCTGGAAGAAGGCCCGCACCCACGCAAGTCACGATGGCGTCGGGCGGCGCGGGCAGCTGTGACTGCAGTTCCTGACACACAGACCCCAAACCCCATACCCCAAACCCCAAACCCCAAACCCTAAAGGGGGGGGCTTCGGGAGGGTTCAGGGGGGGTTCCGGGGGGTGTTAGGCTCTTGTGGCTTGTTACGAGTTTTTAAAGGGAGTTTCCAGGGTTGTAGGGCTTCGGGACCAACCTACATTCTGGTAGCAATAAAATCCAGCTTCGGGCTTCTGGACATCTGGGGAACATCCCTGTCGAGCAGAGGGTTTAAGTTGTCTGAAAATTCAAGCCCTGCCACCTTGGGACGTTCTCCCTTATAGGGATTCTAATCAGGGGTGCTATAATGCCTACTAAGGACTGTTGTTAGTATAAAGGGGAACATCCCAACCCTGAACCCCACATTGCTTGTACCCTAAGGTCTGCATGCGACGCGATGAACTCGCACCTGGCTCCAGCTAAGCACTAGAACCCTAAACCTAAACCCTGAACCCTAAACCCTAAACCCGAAAACCGAAACCCTAAACCCTAACCCCTAAACGCTAAACCCTAACTCTTAGGAAACATTCTGGGGTGCCCTTTGCCTGGACGATGGTCGAGTGGCCGCGCCATGTGGACTCCTCCAGGGGGTGCAGTTAAGCAGATCCCCTCACCGCAGGTTCAGAGTAGGGTTTAGCGTTTAGGGTTTAGGGTTTGGGGTTTAGGGTTGAGGGTTTAGGGTTGAGGGTTTAGGTTCAGGGTTTTGGGTTTGGGGTTTAGGGCTTAATCAGGCACACTTCCCGAGCTTAACCCCACTTAGGGTGAGGGGGTGGGTGGGTGGGGAGCTCGCAGTAACCCAACACATGAGTGGCGTTGCATGGTTTGCATTTATGCACTTCTACCATGGATGAAAACAAAAAAATGTCTGCATATAAGTAAAATAAATCAAGTCAAGCACAATTGCTATTTGGCTTTTGGGCTTAAGGTTTGAGGACGCTAGTCAGATATTGCTTGCGTGCAGGGTTTAGGGTTTAGAGAACTACGGCAATGCTTGGGGGCGGTATGTACCCTAAACCCTCAAAAGGCACTACCGACGAGGAACCGCTCAAGGGGCCCTCCCATAAAGTGCGTCCAAGGAAACCTTCAACAAAACACCCTTTACTTCGTATCATGGTCGGCTACTACTGAACCCTCAACCCTAAACCCGAAACCCTTAGCCCTAAACCCTAAACCCTAAGCCTTAAACCCTACGAGTCTGCTAGAAACGAGCCTGGTCGAAGGGATGCACGTAGGCGCCGCGCTGCTCTTCCACCACTTTCCGGGCGTGCTGGTCCGCCTGCGCGCGCTACCCCTGAACCCTGCTTGGAGGTCTAAGTAGGGTTATAAATGTGGGAACTATACTTATAACCCTATGAGGGATACCTATAACCTTACTTATAACTACCCATGAACCTCCAAGTACAACATCCCACAGACCCTACAGCAATTCTGCGGATCCCTGGAAGATGGCCTCAACAACAACAAGACCGACACCTTGAAGCCCAGACCCAAAACCCTCACGACGGCGCATGCGCTGGAACAGAGAGCCTATCTGCTGACGATCCCCTCCTCCCAGGGTTTTCTTGCAGCGTGGGCGCCTCGTCCCAAACGCTTCCGTGCACCAGAACCTGTCTGAAATCAGACTTTGAGAGCTCTGGGAAATGCGCAATGGAGGGGGGGGAGGCGCCGGGGGCTTAGAGTTGAGGGCTTTAGGGCTGCACACTCCAAACAAGCCACCGCCCAAGAAGAAGAAGAAGCAGGGGAGGATTTTGCTCAGCTTTCAGAAGGCTCAAGAGAGGCCTCCCAAAGCAGAAACTGCCAGATTCTTGGAACCATCTGCCGAAGGCGGAAGAGCTAGGTAGTCAGGGCCTTTCGAGGCAGCTTCTTGTTGGATTTAAGGCAGGGTTCAGGATTCGGTCAAGGATGGCAGCAGCTGGGTTGCTTTCCGAAGCGAGTTGAGTCATAGCCGTCGCATGTACGTCCCGATAATCCCCCACCCCCGGCCCTCTAAGGGCTCTTACCCCGAGACGGCCCCCCTTACCCCCTATACTCTCAAGGAGGTCCATGCATTGCAAGAGGACCTCTTAACCGCTTGGGTCCCGACCTCAGCGCCGTAGCCCGCCAACCGGTCACGGATGAGCGCTGGGGTGGAGCTGGGAAGCACGACCTCACGAAGGGGAGCCGACTTTTAGAGGGGCCTTAGTCGGGTGTTTTTGTGCTGCTAAACCGAAGAGCAATGCCCTGTGTTCCGAGCTGCTCTCAGAGAAGGGCCGTGTGGACAAAGAAACGTATCAATATGTCACGACTACCAGCAAGACCAGCATGCCTGCATTGGATCGGAACCTCAACCCTAAACCCTAAACCCTAAACCCTAAACCAACCATTCAACAGGAGACAGCACCCCAAACATGCCCAACCCCTCAAACTCTAAAGCTGGGAATCCCCCCCCCCCCCCCCCCCCCCCCCCCCCCCCCCCCCCCAACTCCTCCCCAAAAACTATAAAGCCTAAACCTTTAAATCCTAAACCTAAACCCCAAACCCTAAACCTAAACCCCAAACCCTAAAACTTAAACCCCAAACCCGAGACCCTAAACCCTCTGAGCCCTGTGCCGTGCAGGGCAGCCCGCAAGCACGCGCTGCGAAGGCCGCTGCCAAGCCGGCCTCTGTCTGGCTCTCAAGATTGGTTTTGGGGTTTTGGGTTTGGGTTTTTGGGGCTTTGGGGTTTTGGGGTTTTGGGGTTTTAGGGTTTTAGGGTGTTAGTACTATTGTTGTTTACTGCCTTGGTCCACAAGACAACTCAATTAAACCCAACTTTTCTGCATGCATGGCCTTCTAGCGGCTTGTCACTGGGAGTTCAAGGGGACTAACTAAGTCCGACTTGCAACCCAGGGGGCGTTCCCTCCGCTGGAGGACACGATGCATGAGGCACCATTGCGCTTGGCCTGCGAAGAGCTTCAGGGTTGAGGGGCAAAAAGCCGAAATCAGATCAACCCTTCAAGCAAGGACTAAGAGTAGGCTAAAATGCCTCAGAGTGTCAGAGAAGGTACTGGTTTTCTTTGATTGTTTGGAATATTTGCCTCTTGAGGTACATGGTAACTCCCACTGCGCATTAAAGGCGCCCTACGTAGAACACCATGTATGGGGCCCCCCCCCCCCGGTCCACAGTAGGAGGCCACAGCGAGCAGCCTGAAGGGGACTGTTGAGTCTAAACTTCGAAAGTCCTGGGCTGAAGAGGTGAAGCCCTAAACTCTAAAACCAACTGAATTTGAACCTAAACTGCAAGGGATCGCAACAAAAGTTCTTAACATCAACGCAACCTGCAAGTAAAGCGGCCGGCATGTCACCTCTGATCCTCTTCAACCCTGAGCGCTAAGCCCTCTAAGGCTCGAACTTGGGATGTTCCCCCTGCTACTAACAGCCCTTACTCGGGATTATAGTACCCCCTAGAATGGTCCCTATTCATGACGTAGTAGAATCTAGGGGGAACATCCTAACCTCTAACCCTCTAAGCCTCTAACCCTTAAAAACCCTTAACCCTGAAAGCCTTACACCCTTGCAACCCTTCAACCTACTAATTGCTTCAGAACCCCGAAACAACACAAGATATTCTTCCTTATTAAGGGTAATATAGGGAGGGATTCTTAAGCAAATCGTAGTTTAACCCTAAAACCCAGCGCCTCGAGCACGGTCTCGCCAATGCCCCGCAACTTGAATGACCCCGAGGGCTGGAGTAAGTCCAACTTCCTCTGCGGGGATGAGAAGGGGGTTTAGTTTCGGGTTTAGGGTTCAGGGTTTAGGGTTCAGGGGTTTGGGGTTTAGGGTTTAGGGTGTGTATGGGACAATACAGGAGCTTCTGTGAGTACCAGTGTATCCCCTGATTACCTCCGTAGATTTTGAAGATAAAATATCCATTACACCACCAGCTCGAGCCAAAGAAAGAGCTTTTGGACCCTCGGGGTCTTGGGGTTGGTGCTGCGTTCTAGAACATGTCCAGGTGCAGGTGCCCGGTGTAGGGTTCTAGGGCCGCCGAGGGGCAGAAACACCTCGGCACCCAATCGCTTGGAGAAAGCCTGAAGAGTCTGACACTCTCGGACAACAAGATCAGTAAAAGTAGATACATCTCAACTGATCGTTGTGCCATGGTGGTGTGGGTATGTAGAGTTTAAGAAAGATGGAGCGGCCATGTCAAGCAATGGGACTTGCACTGCCCATTGCGTACTCCAGAAAGCTGCACTTTCCTTCGATGGCCTGCCTCGGAGTAGATCAGCGGCGTTTGTATGTGTGGTGCTGCAGCTCCTGGATCTTCTGCACATACTGCCATGGGTCGTGGGTGAAAATGGGTTTAGGATACCGTGGCTGTGATTTCGGGTTCAAGGCTTGTTCAAGTTTTGTGATCAGGACGCTAGCTCAGGAGTTTAAGTTTTGAATGCTCTGTTCGTCATGGTTCTTTCTTCCGAAACAAGGCGTGCCCCTTAGGAGAGAACTGTAATCCTTATTTGAGGGATCCCGCCGCACCCCCCTCCCTCTGAGCCATGAAGAGGTATTTTCGAACTCTCCTCCTGTCCCCCCAAACAGAAACCAAATAATCCCAAAATCGGTTTTCTCTGTTTGTGGTTGTGGGCTCGGAGGGCTCCAGGGTCTTGGAATTTGCTCAGGTTCTTGGCTGCAGGGTTCAAACCCTAAACCCTAAACCCGAAACCCTAAACCCTAAACCTTCGGGCTTTCGATGTTGGAGGTCCTGCTGCAAACGCCCGGCATGTGCTTCGGCTGGCCTGCTTCAGGGGTTTAGGGTTTAGGGTATAGGGTTTAGGGGCAGCAGTATCCCTAGCAAGTGCTTGGTAAGGATCATCGGGGCCCTCAAGCCCGCCTAGCTGGAGACTGCTGGTAGAAGTAGGAGCAAGCCAGGTTTAGGGTTTAGGCTTTACTGTAAGGTCTAGGCTTCTCAAGTGTTTAGAGAACCTCGGGTTCAGAGTTGCAAAAAGCACGAGGGCTCATCTCAGAGTATACCAGCAGAAAGCAAGCTCTGAATTGATTCTCCAGTTTTCTGGTTCTCGGTCAGTGGCATGATATCGCATCGTCTTTGCCTCCTGATGTAACGATGCGGAATGTCGGACTGATCGAAGTATGGGGGGGTTTTCCTTGGTGGCATTTTTAATGGGAACCGCACTAAATACTGGTACACCAAGCAGAGCTCAAAACTTAGATTCCGACGGTGCCGTTCGGTTGTTGTGTCGGTGGCGGCTTCCAGACTTTAGACAAGGGTCCTTTGCTACCATTCGTTTAAGAATCCCCAAAGAATCTGCACAATTCTTCCTTATAAGGGCAATATAGGGATTACTTCTCTGGCGGGGTTCTTAAGCAAATAGTAATTTGGGGTAGCTTTTTACGCCTTAACGTGCAGAGCTCTGCACAGACGACATGTCTGTGCCGCGGAAGGCAAAAACCCCGGCTTTTTGGTGGCGGTTTGGCGCCACCATTATTATCCTGGTCCCTAATTTGCAAAATCCCAATATTCAATCAAAGACCCATTCTACTTGAAAGAGGTCCCTCTATGGCCATGCATTCAACCATGGGCTCACGAAACACAATCAGCCTGCAGGGCGGCGCAGGTGCACCCGGCCGTGAGGAACGCCTGGGGCTCACGATGCTTTGCAGCTCGAGTTCGGTTCTCCATCCGCGGCTGCAAGCGGCACATGCTGTACACAAGCGACCTCTTGCGAAGCAGAAGCTTTCTTCCGAGAGATTGCCAAGAGAAAGCTGACGGTAAAGGAGCCTGAGGGTAACAGGCAAGAGCCTGAAGAAGGATCAGAGCCACCCAGAAATGAAAGCACTCAAAACCCAACCTGGGACTCTGTTTCCCTACAGTTTACTAGTAACTACCCTTCATTTGTAGGTATCACCCATCTAAACCTGCAGGCAAGAAGAGTGCCTCAGGAATACCGAAAGCAGGCTTCCTCTGAGGCCCCCTGCTCTTCGGGCCAGGCGTCGGCAAGCCATGCCGAGTTGGCCCCGAACCGGCACTTGCTTGGCGTCTTGTGGCTCTACTTCTTTCCGGGTGCAGCTCTCGCCTCTGAACTTGGGGGCCAAACCTAAAGTTATGGGGGGCCGATGCATATTCAGCTCGCTGCTGCCGGAAACATTTCGTGGATCCCTTATCGTTTGGGGTACCACAAGAGGTCCCCAATGCAGATGAACCACTAGAAGCCCTAGAAACCCTACAAATTTTAGAAACCCTACGCCCCAGCAGAGCTCGAAGCCAGAAGCTCGCGGACAGGAAAGCAAGGGGGGGGGTGCATGCCAGGGTTTCAGGCTTGTGGTGTCTGAGGGAAGTTCAGGGCGTTGTGGCCTTAGGGTTGAAGGTTGCAAGTTTGCAACTGCTGTCGGTCGGGTATTACGGGTTGGGATGTTCTCCCTTATATTAACAGTCCTGCGTAGGGATTCTAGTACCCCCTATCTATTTTAATCCCTGTTAAGGACTGCTAGTATAAGGTGGAACCTCAAAAAGGATGGGTATTATGTCATCCCCCAAGTAGGAGACAGGCATGCTGGCGCAACCCGGTGCCTGTCGCGCTTGGTCCAAGTAGCGGACCTGGGATGACAAAATGCTTCTAGCGCACCTTTGCTCAACTTCTGTCAGCGCTCTTTTTTGTTGAGCCTGTTTCGTGCCCAGCCCTTTTTTGGAGGGGGTAGTTGCGCCTGTTGTTGACGCACGATGAACCCAGAAATACCGACTTGCATGGCCATCAGTTACAAGCTTGACGTCATTTGTGCGCAGCAAGTCTGTGTAGATTCCTTGCATCTGCATCTCTCCGAGGCCCCAAAAAGAACTTGGGCACCCAACTTGCACAAGCCTGCGGAGCCTGCTGGAGACTCGTAAGATGGCTCTTAAGTCCCCGACGCGCTCCTCAAGTGAGCACTCGTTCTTGGACTCCGCGATGAGGAGCAATACCTGCTTCTGTGAATTGAAAACTTCCACGGGGGGTCTAATGGCGAGTCCAGCCCCTTGCGGACCATGAAACTTCCTTTCGTCCTGGGCTAACCCCTCTCAAGTCGCGGAAGCAGAAAGAATTATCCTACACACGGGGCAGATGCAGTGTAGGCGATGTCATGCTTAGGGTTGATTCCTTCATGAAACTGGGGGCACAGGGAAAACCACGTTTGGGAGAAAACCCTGTGCTCCACACTGCAGAAATGCCCTCGTGTGCAGCACCCCGAAAGAATGACGTGTGATTCTCACATGTGGGCGCTGAGGAGGAAAACATCTCAAGGGATTCGGGGTCTACTTTACGACCCCTTTCAGCACCCTAAACCCTAAACGCCTAACCCCTAAACCCTAAACCCTAAACCTCAGCAGAGTGATCTGGATGGGGAGTCGTGACAAACCCTCCTCCGCTTCTGCCTCCGAGGCTTCTTGCAGCCGCCCCTGCCGCGCCCGGTGCCTGGACAACTTGAACTCGCATGACAGGGTTTCCTGCTTATATAAGCCTTATAGAGCTTTAGGAGTTTGGGGTTCGGGCTGAAGGGTTTTTGATGGCTTCAGGGCTGTAGGGATTTCGGTTTTGGGGCTGTAAGGGCTTTACGGGTACTTGATGGCTCTCTACAGATCGTTTGGGAGCCTCGAGGCGTCACGTGGGGGGCTTCCAACGTTGCGTTTCCTGTAAGGCGACTGTCGTTTCTTGGGTACATAAACCCCCTTTGCTGTTGGAAATAGCCATCCTAGAGTATCTGTGTGAACTTGAGAGCGCTTGAGCTCGGAACATGGCAAAACGCCTTAGCCATCGAATGAACTTGCAACTCCCAATTTCCTCATGGGGCTTAGTTTAGGCTTCCAGTTTTGCCCTTAAGCCCTCGGAGATCCTCATTCTCGAAGCCCGAAAGCCAAAAGAGAGTTTAGGGTTTAGGGGGTTTAGGGTTTAGCGGGTTTAGGGTTTAGGGCCCTCAGATCTTTTCGGAGAGGCAGCGGCCTCCAGAGCAGCTCCCCTGCGGCCCGACTTCGTGAGACGCGCTGGTGGAGGAAGTCCTGGCAGCTGGAAAGCCGCTGAAAAAAGCTTCCTTGTTCGGGTTATATTAAAGATGATGACTTTTTTCCTTCTTGGGAAGAATAGTAGTAATTACACTACTTCCTTGTTGGGGTTCTATTGAAGATGATCATTTTTTATTCCTTATTGGGAATTATTTAATATGACAAGAATGAAGAATTATAAGCAGCAAGGGCCCGGTAAACACCCAATGCCTTCAAGCTCCCTCGGGGGTCCCTGCATATGGGTAGTGACAGGTGCTCACGTATAACCATATTGCAGGTACGGACTGAAAACCCTACTTAGAACTGAACTACCCATGGGCTTAAACACTAGACCCTAGACCCTAAACCCTGCAAGCAAGCCCGAAACCCTGAACTTTGGCATCTTTGAGACTAACCCGCCCCGCCCCCACCCGATGTCGCTCCAACTTGGCTGACTACTCTTTCGGTTCTGAACTTGCGGGTGGGGTTTAGGGGTTAGGGTTTGGTGTGAGAGCGGGGCACAGCCCTAAACCCTAGCAGGTGGTTTGGGTGGTTTGGGGTTAGGGGTTTGGTGGTTTAGGGTCTCAGGGGTTTCGGGGGTTTGCCTGTGATGTCTTCACAGCGTGTGGGTGCTGGAGAGCTTCCAGCTTCAATAGTTGTCCAGTATCCTTGGGGACTCAAGGTTAACCTTCGGGATTACTAAGGAGATTCTAGTACCCCAAAAAGGTTAACGGTTACCTGCTCTGCAACTAAGCTTCAATATGGGTTCTCTCACAACATCGAGCAAGGGCTGGGGATGCTCTGCGCAGGGTGCTCGCCCACTCACAGCTTCTTGGGAGAGAGGTGGTGCTCTCCCAAGAACACCCCCTCTTATACTCGCAGGGGACCTTTATGGGGGTTTATGGGGGATTTTATGGGGATTGATTGTACCTAGGGGGGTACTATAGAATCCCTATAAAGGACTGTTAGTGTACGGAAGGGACATCCCAACTACCACACGCGAAGAGCGCTAAAAACCGAACCCCCCCCCCCAACAAAAATTAAAAGAGACAAACAGTTTCGGAACCGGCCATGTGCACTTCATCCCCTTGAACAAACTCCAGGCTCCCTTTGAAGTTAGGCGGTGGGCTTTGGGGTCCACGATCCGTAAACCCAAAACCCAAAACCCTATCACTTGGTGCTTCAGTTAGGGTTTAGGGTTTAGGGTTTAGGGTTTAGGGTTTAGGGTTTAGGGTTTAGGGTTTAGGGTTTAGGGTTTAGGGTTTAGGGTTTAGGGTTTAGGGTTTAGGGTTTAGGGTTTAGGGAGGCTCGGATTTCGAGGCTCGAATCACAGAACCCCAAATCCTAACTTTGCGCCCCTTGCTTCTTCAGGAGGCGAAGCCTACTGAGGCCTCCGGGCCCTAGACTTAGGGTCTTAGGGTTTTGGGCTTTGGGCTTTGGGGGAACTCTCTTGGGCCAGTTCAGGGTAGTCTCCCCACTACACCCCTGAGGTATGCCTTCTTCTAGGAGCCTTGTTATAGAACCCTTGTTGCAAGGTATCCGCCTGGGAACTCTCTGAAGTTGCCTCCTAAACCCTATACCCTAAAATCTGACCCCCCAAACCCTAAATCGTCACCTCCAGTGGTGGGCCCTGTTGATCGCTGAGCCGGTTCTTCAGCAAGGCCTGGGGCGGGGGGGGGGGGGCGGGCACACAGCGGACAATCTGAGAGCAGTCGATCCGCCCTAAAAAGCCCAACAGAAAACCCTCAAAAAACACCCAAAGCCCTCTGAAAACCTTCAGCTCGCCACCAAAAGCCAGAGACCCCAACGCCCCTTTTTGCTCAGGGCATGCGCCTTCAACTGTCAGCGAGATCCCAGTATTAGAACATTCCCCGAGTTCTGGACAGCGGGGTCTCTGGGACGCCAGTAGCATGGAGAAATCATCCCTATACATATATATATATATATATATTCATATATATATATACATATAACAAAACCGTGTACCTATACAATATATGCTGGGGCCCTACAGCTACTTTTTAAGAACCCCTTTCAAGCCCAAGTGTATATAAGCCCGAAACCCAAACCCCAAACCCAAACCTAAACCTAAACCCCAAACCCAAAACCCGAAACCCCAAACCCTAAACCCTAAACCCCAAACCCTAAACCCTAAACCCTAAACCCTAAACCCTATACTCTACAGGTACATGGATCCTTAGGGTACGCCCTCCTGCCTCCAAGACTGGCCAGAGCTGCGGCATGCCCTCAGCATCCCAGGGTCCCCCGAGTGGGGGAGGGGGAGGGGCTGCTGAGGGTTAGGGTTTGGGGTTTAGGGTTTAGGGTTTAGGGTTTAGGGGTTTAGGGGTTTAGGGGTTTAGGGGTTTAGGGGTTTAGGGGTTTAGGGGTTTAGGGGTTTAGGGGTTTAGGGGTTTAGGGTTCTGGGTGTAGGGTTTCCTGTCTCGGGCCCAAGAGCCATAAAGAACTCAAACCCCAAACCCCAAACCCCAAACCCCAAACCCCAAACCCCAAACCCCAAACCCCAAACCCCAAACCCCCAAAACCGCCCGAAGTGCCACATTTTTTCGGAGCTCGCAAGGAAATAGGACCCTATTATAACATTCGGAACCGTTTCGACATTCATGTCAAGCCCCATGGTTTAGGGTTTGGGACCCCACTAAGCTCTAACCCTTCTCAGAACCCTAAACCCAAAACCCCCTCAGAACCATGACGCTGACAACCCGGGTTTCCCTTTAACACCTAAACCCTAAACCCTAAACCAGCAGCATGACTCTCCGAAGGTCGGGCCAACAGGTGGTCCAGCACCACGGCATGCGCAAACGGGACCTCCGAGAACAAGGAGGAGTTATTCGCTCCCTATTTAGGCCTCTGTGTAGACCCAAAAGTAACCCGTGAATTTAAAAGGGCGCCCTTTTTTGCTTAAAGGGGCGGAGAAGGGAACCCCGAAGGGAAGAAGTGGCCTACTCTAGAGGGGTGGGGGCATTAGGGCTGTTCGGAGGGGTGGGGGGGCACCTTTGGCGGAGAATCTGAACCTCCCAAGAAGAGTGCGCCCTTTCTCGCGGCTCTTTGCGCGATGTCTCAGACAATGCACGTCTCGGCAAGACAGCTCCTCTTCACCTTCTGAGGACCTTCTGATACCTGGGTGGTTGTCAAAACTATGATCCCTTTTTGGGGTACCCTAAATATTCGGTGCCGTATTATAATCGGGATCCAAAAAAAAACAGCTTTGACAACCACCCACCTGTAGCATGGCACGGCAATCCATTCGCAGCGTGACGGGCGCAAGGGCCCAAGTGGCCAAACATGGTGCCCGAGCCGAAGCCGCGCCGGAGTTGGAGCAGTGGCACTGTTTTGCAAGCAGTAGCTTCAGAGCTCGGCATTCCGCTCCAGGACCTTCCTCTCCTCTTGAGGGGGGGACATCTGAGGAAGAACTGCTCACAGGGCCTCACCTGTGGGTTGCCCATTTTGGGGACATGTTCGACAACCTCCGAGCAATAGTTGAAGGTATCTCTCATGAAGTGCACTCAATTCTATGAACAAGCCCCCCCCCCCCACCTGCACGAGCTTCACGTTCCCAGAACCATCCGTGGTATCAGCGACTCCGCAGCAGCCAAGCTCACAGCGCGTGAAGCCGAAGCTCTTCGACTCTTAGAGCTCCAAGTCTGTCCTTCACTATAGGATGTCCCTTAAAGCCCTCTGACAACTATTCTTACATATTGTCCTCTCTCAAACCCAATAGGGAGAAACAAATAAAAGATATAAATATAAATCTAAATATAGATATAGATATAAATATAAATAAATAAGTATATATATAATATGTACTTATTTATTGATAATCTCCCAAGGGCATACCGAGCTTAGGAACCTGCCCAGTGTCAGGCCATCATCTGCTCCCAGAGGGTGCACGCGCGGCCGCGCTCAGAGTTCGGATCCAGTGCTTCGAGCTCGGACCTGCGTGGCCCCGGGGGGTGACTTTTCTTAGGGTTCAGGGTTCAGGGTTCAGGGTTCAGGGTTCAGGGTTCAGGGTTCAGGGTTCAGGGTTTAGGGTTTAGGGTTAGGGTTTAGTTTAGGGTTTAGGGTTTAGGGTGTTCTTTTTGGGGGGGCTTTTTGGAGGATCACGGGGACTTAGTAAGTATGGTTGTAAGTACCCGAATTGGGGTTATAAGGAACTGTAACTATAGTTGCCCTAATTTTAACCCTACTTGCTAAGTCCCCTGATCCTTTAGGTACAGTGTGTCCGGGCGGTTCAGCTGGGGCTTCAGGGTGTTGATGTTCAAGGCGCTTTGGGCTTCGTAGGAGGGGGGGGGGGGGACGCGGTGAGGGTGGAGGGCGGTGGAGCTTTAACGTTCAGGGTCTGGGCTCTTGTAGGGCTAAGGCTTCACTGTTAAACCCTAAACCCTCATCTCCCACCTCCTAAGTCTCAAAAGCCCTAAACTTTGTAGCCAAGCCGCAGAGAAAGATGAGGGTTGGGAATGAATCTGCAGTCAGGGATACCATTCCAACCTGCAGCCGCTGAGAGAGAGAGGGGGTGCCACACAAAGCCTGCGTTTGGGGTCGAAGGGCTCTTGGGAAAATGCCTTTGAACAGTATTCACACCTTAACGCGCTACCTTGTCAACCGCACGCCCGAGGCCTTGAACCCTGATCCCTATATACCCTGACTCTCAGATAGCTTGCCTTCGGGCGTCCAGATGCCGCCCAGCACAGTGTTCTCCACAGCCACGACCTGGGAGCAGGGGATCGTACTACCTACACGGAGAAAAACCCTAAACCCTAAACCCTAAACCCTAAACCGGGCATGGCCATAGCTATGACTGCGGTTGCCTTACTGGTAACTCCCGGCCATAACAGCCCTAGGCTGGGTACCTCCAAGCTGGGATTTTGTGGTCCTCTCCGTACTTCAGGGATCCCCAAACCGCCTAAACGGCCAGAGCAACAAAAAGGACGCGACACACCCAACAAAATCGCCTGAACCGATTCTTAACTAAGGCCCTTTTGGAACCCTCAGCCCTCCCTTAAAGAGCCTCCCTTAAATGGTTGGCCAGGAGGCTCCGCCCTTTCGGGACCACGCGCGCAGCACGCCCAGCGTGGTCGTGTACTCTGGATTCATGGGATACTCCTCGGCTTTGGGAGGAGGGCCAGGATGGCTAACATGCCGATTCTAGCAAAAAAAACACAAACCCAAGCCCAAAGAATCCGAAACTCAACAACAACCCTCAAAGTGACCAAATCCGCGGAGTCTCCAAAGCAGCCAGAAAGTGGTGGAGGGCCAAACTCTCCTCAGCTGTCCAGCCTTCGCCCTCGGTGCCCGAATGGTAGTGGGCATCGATGGCCTCTTTGTCGGAGAAGGCGGCATTAAGAAAAAACAAAAACCACAAAAATAGATAGCATAGGAAAAAAATATATATATATATATACATATATATATATATATGATACGTATGTACCTATGCGATGTGTTTGTTCATGCATTTTTGTTCTATCATGCAAAAACTTCATCATTTTCAGCAGCGCAGAAGCCAAATCGTGACCTAGGAGCCCTGAAGCCCCCAAGGAGTTCAGCTCTTGGATCGGGTGTCCACGCTGACCCTATAAGTAATTCGCCAGAACCCTATGAATAAATTCTGACCCAAACCCTACAAACCTAAACCCTAAACCCTAAACCTCTAAAACACTAAACTCTAAACCGCAAAAACCCTAAACTCTCACCCCAAAAACAACCCGGTATCCCCCCTGAACCCTAAGCCGCCTGAACAACGGTGCCCTCGAAGTGTGCCAAGGCCATCTCACGCAGCCGGGCCGTGCCGAAGGGTGCTGTGGCGCCAAGACCTTTGGGAACCTTCGACAGGGTTTAGGGTTTAGGGTTTAGGGCAAAGGAACCTTCAGCAGGGTTTTGGAGGCACCAAAAACCTTGAGCTGAAAACCTTAAGCTTGCACTTGCCAATTGTGGAAGTCCGGGCGACAGGCTACTTTCGGAATCTGCGCGAGACCCGAAACGGGAAGCGGGCTAGGATGTGTGCGTGCGTGCTAGGGACGTGACATGGCTTGAATTGCAAGCCGGACCCGGTGTTGAAACTTGAGGGGTTTGGGGTTTAGGGTTTAGGGTTTTAGGGTTTAGGCTTTAGGGTTTCGTGTTTAGGGGTTAGGGTTAACTTTGGTCCGATTCAAGGGGCGGAGCCCGGGGCGGGAGACGGGCAAGCGGTCTCGGGCAAGATGCAGTCCGCGTTGGCTTCCTAGGTTCCCCAGTATCCTGGGAAGAAAACCGTAGTAGCCCAGTAACCATGTCATGATGAGGGCGCCCTTTTTTGGGTTGGTTACTTTATAAGGGATTCCGGAACGCACAAAAAGGGTAACGGGTACCGCCGGGCCACAACGAAACGAAAAAAAGGCACCCTTTTTGGCTTTAAGGACTGGGTTATTGGAAGGGATCCTAAACCTGGTTAGGGGTAGCCCAGTAATTAACCATCCTATTTTGTAAGGGGCACCCCTTTTTTGAGTTGCTTACTTTGCAAGGGAACCTTGAACCAAAAAAAGTGACAAAAGGGGTGCCACTGGGCTACCAAGACCTTTACCAAGACCTTTCACAACAAGAGGAATAAGGGCACCCAATGTTGGCCTTAACTCGGGTAATTAGATGGGATCCTAAGCCTTGGATTCTTTTTTCTTTTATTTTTTTTAAGATATAGGTTTTTTGGGTTTTTTTGTTTAACGGCTTTTTAACGTTTAAAAAACCATGAATAAGAGGGGCACTGCCTTTTGGCATCCTGGCTTCGAAGAGCTTCACCATCGCCTCTGAGTCCAGAAGCTTGCGAAGGGACTCGGCATCCAGCGCCGACCCGCGCCTCTCCTCAGCTGCTCTCTCACCCTAAACCCTAAACCCTAAACCCTAAACCCTAAACCCTAAGCTCTCCTTCTTCAGGTTGTGGATCTCGAGGGATGTTGAGGCTTCAGGATATCCTCCCCCCACACCTGTCATAATGAAAATTCCCTTTAAACCCCACAATACAATGAGGTTGTAGAAGGGAAAATACCCCGGAAGCAGAATGCAAGAGCCCCCCCTGGAACCTGAACCCTAAACCCTAAACCCTAAAAGGTTAAACCCAAACCCCAAACCCTAAACCCTAAACTCCTAAACCCTAAACCCCGAACCCTAAGGGAGCCACCGGGCGTCGAGGGCCGCGGCGAGCTTCGGGAACTTCGCGGAGGCCATGTCTGGAAGGCAGCTGCGCAGCTTCCGCCGTGGAGAAAGTAGACCAGCAACACGGTTGCTAGCACAAGTAATTGAAACACACAATTATATATAAATATAATTACATACATATATAATTGTATATATATATATATATATATATCGTGTATACATGTACACACACACACGTCGCATAACATACACATTAAATACAACATATGCATGCACCGACAGCGTCTTGTATGGCATGTTTGACGTTCTTGGTTTTCAGCTTAAGACCAGGCGGCTGTCGCAACGAGCTAAATCAGCTGCATGAGCTGGATATACAAAGAACTGGTGATCATGTTTCTACACACATGGACACACACACACACACATCTCTTTCTCCATATATATATATGTATGTATATTTCTATATATATATATATAGACACACACACACACACACACACACACACCCGCACGCGCGTGCGCCAACTCCTGTGCGGATGCTGACAGTTGGGAGCGCTGAAGCTCGTGTGTTGATGCAATCCAGACCTATCCGCACATGAAATTCCTATCATTTTTGCACATCGGAGTATGTACATGGGACATGCATGACAACCCGAAATGCCCGTGCGGACTCTCCACCGAGTGAGAAAGCACCATGGAATGTAGCACCGACCGTACAGGCTTCCTCCCGCGCGAACGCTATGCTATAGGTTTTGGAACAGCACGATGCCATTTTGACCTGCCTGAAGCGTGATCAATGCCCAAGCAAAGCGCTCTTCACGATGATTAGCTGGGGGCAGATGCTGCTGAAGGGGCCCTACATGGCCGTACTACACCAAGACCCGTTCTGCATGACATGGCAGATCGGCACGCCTCGCGGAGGCCGCCATCAGGCCTGACCCGCACCAAAAAAAAGGCACTCTATGCCGAATGCCTGGAAAGGAATGTCAGGAACCCAAGGTAGGGGCCTGAATAATTTAGAATCTATTCATAAAGGGACCAGAAGTGAATACTACTAGTAACTATTCCGACCCCTATACTTAATCCCGCAAAAGCTCGCAAGCCACACATCCCCCTCAGTAGCTCCATGCAATCTCTGGCCTCTTGCCCTCCGCAAAGTGCACATTGGCGGTCCTGGCACGCAAGAACCGCCTGCCTCCACGGGGCGATCCCTGCCCTCTCTCATTCTACGCTAAAAGACTAAACCCTAAACCCTAAACTCTCTTATTTTAAGTCCCACATTGTCAGTAGTCTCCTTGTTTATGCTGGGCATGGGGGGGCGTAACGTAACCCATAGATCAAGCGTCTACATCCGATGCGAATGGCTGCTCAAGTCTAGCGGTTCCTGCAAGGCTCTGCGGCGTGCTATGCGTGCCGAAACCCTAAACCCTAAACCCTAAACCCTAAACCCTAAACCCTAAACCCTAAACCCTAATTGCACCGCTACAAAAGAAGAACAGCACTCTTCAACCTTCGGTAGCCTGCCGGTCCCTCGGTTTGGTAAAAAGAGCCACAGATTGACAGTCACACCATGACCCCAGCCGCGGAGGCATAGAAGGTCTGACACCCTGCATACAGTATCTGCTTACTTCAACACATCTCTCGCAACCCCCCCCCCCGAGTCCTGGAGAGGAGCTGCTCAACCAAGCATTGAGCGGCTAGCACCTGGGATAGAGCTTAAGCGAGAAAGGGTGACAGGTTGGCTCAAGCCGCTCAAAGACTTGGAGACCCCCAGAGGATCAATGCCCCGAGAGCAAAAGATCGGCAACGCAACAAGGGTCTAGGGTCTAGGGTTTAGGGTGTAGGGTTTAGGGTTGGACAGAAGCAACCAAACAAGAAACACAAGGAATCAGAGTAAAGCCGAGCGCGTCACCAAGGTCGTCCCTCCCTGAACCCTAAACCCGAAACTTGGGATGTTCCCCGTTATCCTAACAGTCCTTACTAGGGAATGTCCGCCCCAAGCCCTTCCATCTTGCAGTGCTTTCAGCCCCGCGCTCGATCTTCTGATGGCCGCCCCAGTTCCTCCGAGCTGATTGCGCCGATCCTTGAAATGGGGGAGGCTTTGCGTTTGAGGTTTAGCGTGTGGGGTCTAGGGTCTGGGGTTTAGGAATCAGGGTTTAGGAGCTGGGGTTTAGGGGCCTTGGGTTTAGGGTTTTTGTAGTTCGGTGGCTGGGGTTTTGGGGTTTGGGTGCTTAGAGTAGAGGGTTGAGGTTTAGGGGCGAAGCGGCTTTGGATTTAGGATATAAAGTTGTTGTGCGTTGCTGTTTATTTTGCTAGTGGTAATGGCTGTTTGGTTGTCGGCTTTTCGAGCCTAGGGCAAGCAAGACTGCACAAGGCATCCATCATAGAGCGCATACAGCGCGCAAAAAGAGCCCCGTTTTGAGCATTTGAGCATAGGGTTGTGGGTGTTGGGTTAACACTGCTGTGAAGTTCCCTACACCCTGCACCCTCAATTGCTCCTAGGGTCGAGAGTTTAGACTGTCATAGGTCACGGAACCACAGAAAGCTCCCCAAGATCATGATTTTAACCCTACACCCGGAACCCTAAACAGTAGCGGAGCCCTGAGCCCTGAAGCCATTGTCGTTTCAGGATCTGTCGCCCAAACCTTTCTCTAGCACGCCAAGGCGTTGCAACTTCTAGATTCAGCCCTACATCCGTTCAATGATCGATTCACGTCCGCGGCCACTGATCCCTGATTGCACGTCTTCATACATCTAAAGGCACTTCCCACAAAAGGCGATCCCTGTATATACCCCAGATACGATAATCATTATTAGGGGAACCCCCCCCCACCCCACCCCCGCCCCCGCCCCCATTCTCGGAAACCCCTTAATTCCCCTAAACCCTAAAGCGTTGATGGGATCGTGTTAGCGCTCGCCACTGAGCCCTGGACAAGGCGTCCAGCAGCTGCTTGGCCCGCACCTCACAACAGTCGGTTGGCCAAACCCTCAAGCCTATCTGCACCCCGGCCCAACCTCCCTTCAATACAGGGGGCTTATATACCCTACCATCGTGGTTACAGGGTAGTTGGGGGGTGCTAGTAAACCCGAAACCCTAAACACAAATTATGATGACAGCGCAGCCGCCGGTTTAGCAAACTGCTGCACCAGTGGCTACGCACGGCTTCTTGGGACAGTTTCAGGTCGCCTCTCATGAACGTTAGAGGATTTTGCTTTCTTATGCAATGTTCCACCGTTGTTGGTTACCCGAAGCTGCAAGCAAGACCCATATGACTTGGGATGTTCCCCCTGATACTCACAGTCCTTCATAGGGATTAGAGTACCCCCATGAGAATCCCTATTCAGGAGCTGCTAGTAGAAGGGGGAACATCCCAAATCATGCATCATGTCCCGATCATCGAGTCGTTTACAGGGTTTCAACGGGAAAATGGAGGCACCCCTAGAAGGGAACCCTTAATCTTATTCCACTTTATAACCCCTATATAATATAGATATATATATATATAGATCCTTACAAAGCCCTTACATACCTACAGTAAGCTCCCAAAAAGCTGGAAAATCCTTATCCCCGTACCCCAAATGGTACACCGGAGGGAATTCCAGTTCTAGTCGCCCTTAAACCATGTCCCAACTTTCTCCGAGTTTACTGCAAGTAGCCCCTAAATAACCCCTACCCAAAGGCTCCAATGTAGTTCCTTTTTGGGTTAGTTATAGGGGGATTCCAATATACTATCCCAAAAAGGTACTACATCGGAGCCCTTGGGTAAGGTCCCTTATAAGGGTCCCTCCCTTAGTCCCTTGCGGGTTGGGGGGGCGTTGAGTCCATCCAAGACACCTGGGGGTCCCAAACCCTAAACCCTAAACCCTAAACCCTAAACCCTAAACCCTAAACCCTAAACCCTAAACCCTAAACCCTAAACCCTAAACCCTGATTTTAGGGAGCCTTCGACTCAGGGTGCCCAGACAACCCAAGACCCTGAAAAGCCCAAATGCAACCCTAAAAGACCCTAAGCCCTAAAAACGCCCTAAACCCGAAAAAAACCTAAATCCCTAACTAAACCTTGAAAACCCTAACCCCTAAAGAAACCCTAAACCTTGAAAACTCTGAACCCTGGAAAGCCCTAAGCCTTAAAAGTCCTTGAACCACAAAACCACAAAACCCTAAATCCTAAACCCTAAACCCTAAACCCTAAAACCCTAAACCCTAAACCCTAAACCCTAAAAAAACCCTAAGCCTCAGCTCCAGGATGGCCATGTCCCTGATTGGCCTTGGCACTCATGCAGGTGTTCGCTTGGCACACAGGGGGCCTTTGCTTGCTTGCCAGGTGTTAGTTTAGGGTTTAGGGTTTAGGGTTTAGGGTTTAGGGTTTAGGGTTTAGGGTTTAGGGTTTAGGGTTTAGGGTTTAGGGTTTAGGGTTTAGGGTTTTGGGGTTTAGTGTTTAGGGTTTCGGGGGAATTCGGGAAGATAGCTTCTCTATGTTTACTTTAAATGGTCAATAGGATGGTACAATTGTAACATATGGTTTCTTGGATGGGAAATTCGGGAAAATATCTTCCCCATATTTCCCTTAAAGGGCGAAAAGTACTATATACTACGCGTAAGCATAGGAATTGCATGTGGGTTCAGGGGTTTAGGGTTGAGGGTTTTCGGGTTTAAGGCAAAGAAGCGACCACCCCGACCATGGCGCCAGCCCTTGCTAACCCTTTCCCCTAAACCCTAAAACCCTAAAACCCTAAACCCTAAACCCTAAACCCTAAACCCTAAACCCTAAACCCTAAACCCTAAACCCACAAGGGGCCCCCGGAATTCCCCCCGCACTGAGGTGCCGGGCCCCCCGGGCCGGCTGCTGCAGCTGGAGCTGCTGCAGCTTCTCCACGCACACCTAGCAAGGTAGTAAGGGTTTAGGGTTTAGGGTTTAGGGTCTAGGGTTTAGGGTTTAGGGTTTAGGGGGGGGTAGTAGGGGGTAGTAGGGGGTATCTCCCATCGAAGTGTGAGCATTCTTGGGGGTTTTGAGGGCTCAGGGCTGAGGGTTTGGGGTGCAGGGCTTGGGTTTTTGTTCGGGCGTTGCAGGGGAAGCAAATCCTGGGGTTTCGAATGGTTGCTTAGGAGGTTTAAGTGTGAGCACAGGATCTAGGGCTGAGGTTTCGCTCGGGGTTTAGGGTTCAGGGGCTTATAGGGTTTTTAGGAGCTAAGGGTTTTCGGGCTTTAGGCTTTTCTTGAATTGTGTGAGTGTCTATTGGCCTCTTACGGGGAGGACGAGGGTGGTTCTGGGATGAGGGCTGACTTCGTGTTTGACTTTGTGGAGTTCGGAGGCCAAGAAACATTCCCCGATGCAATCTCCAAGGTATACGAGCTTGTGGGCATCTCTGACTCCAGAAACCTAAACGAGGGTTTACGAAAATAGGGGACCCCAAAGAGATCCCCAAATAAGAGTAGGATCCCCTTGTTTTACCCACCGACGCCGCGTTCGCGCGCAGAACTGCTCTCTTCAGCTGCGGTCGGCGCGTTGTGAGAACCCCAATAAGGTGACCCTAACTCCAGAAACCTAAATTTCGCAAGGTCCGCCCAAATCGGCCTGGAAGGTTCAAATGCCCCCCCCCCCCCCCCTCCCTCCCCCCGGAAGCCTCAGCTGCACGCCGTGGTGCTTCCACGACGGCGGCACCTTAGAGGACGCCGGTTTAGGGTTTAGGGTTTATGGGAGTGAGGGAGTTTCGAGGGGAGGGGAGGGGGTGAATCGACGGGAATGCTTCGTTTCGCAGATATTTTACAGGACAAGGTCCTTGTTCCTTATTAAACTTCGCAAACCCTAAGCCGCTTGGGCCCTTCAAGAGGCCCGGTCAGAGGCCCTGGGCTGCGAGGACCAAAGTTGCGGCTTACCTTGCCTTTGTCCTGACTTCCCCTTCCCTAAGTATGTTAGTTACTTCATATGATCTTGCAGATTAGTTATAGCATGTTATAACACAGCTTGAAAATTGCGGTGCATAAGCTCAAAATCAATATATGTTATATGACCCACAACTCTGTAAACATCTGCAGCCTCAACCAAGCGCCAGGGGTAAGCACGCGCCCTTCTTCGCTTGCGTCACTCGGGTCGGTTCCGAAGCAGCTTCCGCGCCTCCTGCAGCTTCTTCACTTCGGAGTTCAGGGGGTCGCAGTCGCTGTAGTGGCCCCGGTCGTTGTCCTGCTGCCGTAATTCCTTAGGGCAGAGGTCTTGAACAGCATGATACAGCACCCTCAGGAAAAGAGAAAGGCCAGGAGGTGTTCTAGGTACCCCCCTTATACCCCCCTTTTGCCCCCTTAGTTAACCAGCCTTGTACCCCCCCTTAACGAAATAGCCGAGAACGAAAAACAAAAACATTGACTGAAGAATCCCAGGAACGGCACGGACGCGGGCGTGGTCGTCGCGGGCCTTCTTCAGAAGCTCCCTGCGCTGCTCCAGCGCGGGCTCCGGGCGGGCGCGGGCCTCGCTTTGGGCCTTCTTGAGGAGCTCCCGGCGCTGCTCCAGAGAGGCGGAAACCGGCGTGCAGGTCTCCGCGCTGCAGGGCGAGGCGGGCGAGGCGGGCGAGGCGGGCGAGGCGGGCGAGGCGGGTGAGGAGCCTTTGGAGCTTCGGTGCGGCGAAGGCTCGAAGCAGAACTCCTTCTGCGACGTGCTCCGCAGCTCCAGGGGGCTCTCCACATCTCTGCAAGCTTCTCTGGGCAGTGGCGTTGGGCTCAGCTCCTCACCCGGCCTTCGCCTCACAGAGGCCTCACGAGCTGCAGCGGGTGCGGACGGAGTCCGCAGCTTCGCTCGCGGCTCGGGCTGCCTCGTTTCCAGCGCCTCCATGCGCGCCAGGAGCTCGGCATTCTGCTGCGACAGGCGCTGGAGGTAGGCCAGCACCGCATGCTTCCCCTTGGCGCGGAACTTCTCCGATGTCCCGAAGCTCAGGGCATCCAGCGACCCTAAGCCGCCCAAGCCCTCATGGCCATGCTCAGACTCACTCGAAGAGCTCGAGGCACACAGGGAATGCAATGAATACGGCACTTGGGCCGAATCCCCTTGCAGGGCCGCGCCCAACCATTCCTCGGCGCCCAAGGTCAGGTGCGCGTGCTCAGAGAGGCGCTTGACCTTGGAAGATGTGCGCATGCGTGAGAAGACAAAAACCAACAAGACCCGACGACACCCCGAAAGCTCTCTAAGCTTGAACCCTCAATCCTAAACCCTACAAACCCCGAACCTAAACCTTAAACTTCAACCCTAAGAGCCCTAAACCCTAAACCCTCAACCCTAAAAATCCTAAACTTCCGGAGCGCTGAAGCCTCAAAAAGAAGCCCAAGAGGCGATGTCCCAGGGCTTGGACTCCTCGTGGCTGCGCCGGCGCGAGATCGGCAGGGAGAGGCTCTTAGCCCCTCGCTTGGGCCTCTGACTGGAGCTCTCCTTCCCAGCGCAGGCTAGGTTGCCCAGTAGGGTTTAGGGTTTAGGGATTTGGGGTTTAGGGTTTAGGGTCTAAGGGTTTAGGGTTTAAAAAGGCACTTGTTTTGCTTAAAGGGGGGCTTGAAAGGAACCCAAGGCCCCCCAAAAGAGGCATAAGGGTACTATGAGGCATCCTAGCAAGAAGTTCTTCTGAGGGGTGAGGGCTTTTGCGGATGCTGTTGAAGCTTTTGTAGGGTTTCAAAATACAAACCTCCTAAGCCTCCCCCTGACCCGCTGAAAACTCCTAACAAACCGATCGCCCATCAGAGAAGAGACAGTTAAGCACTAGACCCAGGAGTGCCCTAGGAATGAAAAGGGTGCCCCTTTTGGTTTTAAGGGGCTCAGAAGGGAATTATCGGCCAGAACTCTCCTTCCACCGCGGTGCCGGCTGCGGACTTTGCAGCAGCAGCCTCGGGAACTTTTTCAGCCCTAAGCCCTGCAAATCCTGTAATTCCCAGAAACCCGTAACATGCCCTAAATCCTATAAGCCCTCTCGTGCCCGCGATAGTTATGTCCGTGAACATTATTGCCGCACGTTAAAAGACTTATTGTGTGCGGCTCACTCACTGCGTTCATTCGTTTTATTTCGTATTTAGTTCGTTCATTAAATTCACTTGTTTCCATTTCATTTTTCTATTTCAATTAAAATGTGAAGAGAATACGAATTCAATGCATTTATAAGGTTTTCCAGGATGAAGACAAATGCAGTAGATTTCATGCACTTCTCTCCGGATTATAAGGAGTGACCATTTACTATTAATATTCACGGGAAAGAACAAGCCCGCACAACCTTCCTCGCCACCCCCCCCCCCCCCCCCCCCCCCCCCCCCCCCCCCCCCCCCCCCCCCCCCGCCGGCTCGACCCTGAAATTTACACGCGGACCTAAACAATGAAAAGCCCCAAGCCCCTGCAAAAACCTGCGAAAGCCCCTTCTTGATCCCCAAGCCCTGAACCCCCCCTATCTCTAGCCCCCTAAACCATCCTAAACACCGCCTCAGGGGTTCATAGGGTATACTGAACGATACTGTTGGCTGTTCCTTAGGAATTAAAGTCCCCCAAAATGACAAACCACCTCCAGGTATCCCTAGACCCTGAACCCTGAACTAAAAAACCCTAAACCCTAAACCCTAAACGCTAAACCCTAAACCCCAATCCCCAATCCCTAAACCCTAAACCCCAATTCCTAAGGGCAAGAAGCTCGAGCTGCTGGCGCGCCGTTCGCTCCTTCTGGAGCTCGGTGGAGAGCTCCCGGACCTGAGCCTGCAGCTCCTGGAAAGGCGGGGGGAAGGGGGGGAGGGTTTAGGGTTTAGGGGTTTAGGGGTTTAGGGGTTTAGGGGTTTAGGGGTTTAGGGGTTTAGGGGTTTAGGGGTTTAGGGGTTTAGGGGTTTAGGGGTTTAGGGGTTTAGGGGTTTTAGGGTTTTAGGGGTTTAGGGGTTTAGGGGTTGGGGGTTTGGGGGTTTGGGGGTTTGGGGGTTTGGGGGGGTTGGGGGGTTTGGGGGTTTGGGGGTTTGGGGGTTTGGGGGTTTGGGGGGTTTTGGGGTTTGGGGGTTTGGGGTTTGGGGTTTGGGGTTTAGAGTTTAGGGGTTGAGGGGGGGTTTAGGGGCTTTGGTAAGGGGCTTAGGAGTCTGGGGTTTAAGGGATTTAGGGCTTAGGAGTCTGGGGTTTAAGGGATTTAGGGGTTTTTGGTTGAGGGTTTAGTTTGGGCTTGAGGTTCTTTTGGGTGCCTCCCCGGCCACCGCACGAGCCGAAGAGAAGTAAACCCAAAGCCCTAAAGCCTAAAACCTAAACCCTGAACCCTAAACCTAAACCCTGAACTCAAAACCCTACCCGAAACCCTAAACCCTGAACCCTAAACCTTAAACCCTGAACCCTGAACCCTGCACCCTAAACCCAAAACCGAATCCCTAAACACTGAACCCAAAGAACCCTAAGAATCCCAGAATCCCCAAACCCTAAACCCTAAACCCTAAACCCTAAACCCTACACCCTGAACCCTAGACCCTAAACGCAAAACCCTAAACCCGAAGCTCCTCCACGCGCCGCGTCAATGCCAGGCTCGAGGCGGTGCTTGCGGCCGCTGGGGACGGCGATGCGGAGCCCGTTGGAAGGCTTAGCTGCTGAGGGGTTCTTGGAGTTCTTCGGGTTCTCATAGGGTTCTTGGGGTTCTTGGGGT